GAATTGTACAACTATATTTTATTTCTGAGAAAAAGCTGATTTTATTGTTTAGTATTTACTGCTTTTTTTTTTTTTAAATAGATACGATCGCTCGATCACTCGATGTAATCTTCGCAATACTTCTCGAGGAAGTGATATAAAAATTGTGCATTGTGTGTGTATTTTTTTTCCATTCGTGATGGACACGTCTCTTCCACGATTCCCTCGGTGAAGCTCGATGTAACTATAAGCAAAAGACACCTGTGTCTTAATTAAAGTCGGCTGACTTCTGGCTTACCGTGACCCTTCGTGCCACTCGTCAGATCTGTTCCCCAGGGGTGCAATTTACCTCCTCACCCCTTTGCCACCCTTTCCCTCCCTACCAGCGGTCGGCCAGAGTGCGCTCAGCTTTTATATCCACTTTCGTTCTAGACGCTCGAATGCTGTTACCGATTTCTTTCTATCCTCTATGCTTTAATTCTTCTGTTTCTACTTATATTTATTATCGGATAATTTCAAATTAATTAAAATTAAATATAAATTATATATTAATGATATAAATTAATATAAACAATAATATATAATAATAATAATATAAATTAAAATTAATTTCAGGTAGATTGTTAATGATATTTGCAGATATTTTATAAAATATTCCATCGCATATCCGAACGTAAATCGTATTGTTTTATCGAATTTGTTTCAACGTCTGACGTCCGAATTCGTCCTTTGAGTCTATCCTTTCTTCGTTTGGGTTTAACCTCGTTTCGTCGAAAGTCTGAAAGTTTAATATTGAACGAGGAGCATAAACTTAACAGATTACGAACACGTTTATCCTTAAACATAGTTTTTAATATATCTGCTCGATACGTTGTAATTTCTTTGCCCAGATCTTCAATAAAAAAATAACTAAATAATTTTATTACCGATTGCAAAATTGTTTGCATGGTACTCTAGCAGTTGAATGAGTTTTCTTTTTCATCTACTTGTTATATACAGAAAGCTTAATGTTTTCTCAAGAAATGATATTTATACAAATAGCGGAGAAATGTAGAGATATAGTACAAATAATGGAACAACAAATAATTAAACAAGACAAATTACTTTAAAACAACACGAATTAAAACAACTCTAATAAATTCTTCTAACAATTGACACTTTTTAACAGTTCTCTTTCAACGCTCTCTCGCGACTCTCACGACTCTGGTCCTTTTTTAAAAAAAGAAAAGCGCTCCATGCCTACGCTGGACTTCTCGCATCACATTCGTATTTTATCATATTTCTATGCTCGTAAACGTAACTAAAATTATAATTGCAGATTAATTATAAGAACCGGGAACCGACACTACATATATATAATCTGTAAGAGTCATATAATATTATACGTAGTTCGTTGAAACTAACAATGTTTCAGATTTTCTCTGATATTTTTGTTCCATTCATTTAAAATATACGTTCGTCACTAATTATTTGCGCCAAATTTTATGATGTTATGTTGTATCCGACATTAATGTACTTTATGACGAAAATTTGTACAAGTCACGTAAATGTATAAAATTTAATATACAACACGTATGTAATTTGTGTAAAATAATGTTTCAAGTTTCCTCTGATATTTCCGTTTCTATTAATTTTTTTAATTAACTTCCCACCATTTTTACGATCTTATATTATATCTAGTGTTGTAATGTATTTTATAATAGAAATTGAATGAAAAATTTGTCATAATAATCACATAATAATATATAAAATTTATTGAAACTAAAGTTCAGACGTTTCATGTCACCTCGCGACTCTCACGACTCTGGTCTTTTTTTAAAAAAAGAAAAGCGCTCCATGCCTACGTTGAACTTCTCACATCACATTCGTATTTTATCATATTTTATAGTGATTATGATAATTTATATTTATATCACAATACTATAAATAAATAATAACTCCGTAATTAATTTTAGTTGTTTATATAAAAATATTATCAATATCACAAAATATACAATTACTAATA